TAATTTTTGATTTATCGTGGAGATGAGGTCTCGCCAAGTTGCCCAGGCGGGTCTCGAACCCGCGGGCTCAGGCAATCCACTCATCTCAGCCTCCCAAGGCACGAGATTACAGACTGAGCCATCGAGCCCCAGGCTGAGACCTTGATTCTAAAACATTAAAAATTAATGCCAAGCACAGCGGCCCATGCCTGTAATCCCAGCACTTTGGGAGGCCGAGGTGAGAGGATTGCCTGAGCCCAGGTGTTTTTTTGTTTTTTTGTTTTTGTTTTTGTTTTTGAGTTGGAGCCTCACTCTGCCACCCAGGCTGGAGGGCAATGGCACACTCACAGCCACTGCAGCTGCAACCTGCAGGACTCAGGCGATCCTTCCACCTCAGCCTTTTAAGTAGCTGGATCTACAGATGCGTGCCACCGTGCTTGGCTAATTTTTTGATTTATTGTAGAGATGAGGTCTCACCAGGTTGCTTGGATTGGTCTCGAGCCCACCAGAGTGCTGGGATTACAAGTGTGAGCCACCATGTCTGGCCTAATAAATATTTGTTTTACATGTCAGTGAGCAAACTTCAGCTCAAACATAATTAATAGTGGTGCTTAGGCCGGGTGTGGTGGCTCACGCCTATAATCCCAGCACTTTGGGAGCCCAAGGTGAGAGGATTGCCTGAGCCCATGGGATCCAGACCAGCCTGGGAAACTTGGTGAGACCTCATCTCTACAATAAATTAAAAAAAAAAAAATAGCCGGATGTGGTGATTTACGCCTATAGTTTCAGCTCCTTGGAAGGCTGAGGGAGAAGGATTGCCTGAGCCCAGCAGATCAAGGCTGCAGTGGTTATAAGCATGACATTACACTCTAGCCTGGGCGATGGAGTGAGACTCCAGCTCAAAAAAAAAAAAAGAAAAATTCAAAGCCTTAACAACACAAAGTATTCATTACAAGGGCTTTAAACTCTACCTATTTCAAACAAATGTAAAAAAATTATTCCTGGTTGGGCCCGGTGGCTCAGCCTGTAATCCCATGCTTTGGGAGGCCGAGGTGAGTGGATTCCCTGATCCCACAGGTTCGAGATCCACCTGGCCAACTTGACGAGACCTCACCTCTACAATAAATCAAAAAAATTAGCCGGGCGTGGTGGCGCGCGCCTGGAGTTCCAGCTACTTAGAAAGCTGAGCGGAAGGATCGCCAGAGCCCAGCAGGTCGAGGCTGCTGTGGCTGGGAGCGGCCACTGCACTCCAGTCTGGGCAACAGAGTGGACTCTAACTCAAAAAAAAACAAAAATTATTCCTGCCTGGCATGATGGCTCATGCTTGTGTAATCCCAGCACTTTGGGAGACAGAGGTGAGAGGACTGCCTGAGCCCACGGGTTCGAGACCAGCCTGGGCACCTTGACAAGACCTCGCCTCTACAATAAGTCAAAAAATTAGCCAGACCTGGTGGTACACTATATGGTTCCAACTACTTGAACCTGAGACGAAAAGATCGCCTGAGACCAGCAGGTCGAGGCAGTGGTGACCATGAGCATGCCACTGCCCTCCAGCCTGGGCCACAGAGTGAGACTCCGACTCAGAAGGAAAGATTTCCTTTGCGTGTTACATATTTTTCTCATTAAGGCCAATGCAACATGTTCAGCCTTTAACATTAGAATTGAAAGAATTTTAAATTGAAAGAAGGAGATGGTGAACTTCGCTGCATAGCTCAGGGGGGATTTTGCTGTTGTTTGCTGTTGTATTTGTATTTTAAGAAGGAAGTCTGGATATTTACCGTATGCCTCAGGTCGGAGACAAGCTCCAAACGTGTGGTCCGGGGGGACGTTCATTGTGTCTGCAATGCTGTCACAAAAAACAAGTCCTTCCGTTAAAACCCCTGCCACATGGCATCCCTGGAACTTAAAACGCGCTTTCCATATGTTCTTGGGAACCTGTATTTTCTCCTAGAGTCAAAACTCCAAAGATCAAACAGAAATCCCCCGAAGGATCTTTCGTCTGATCACATGAACAAGGGCTGAATGTTTCCACTGCCTGGCTGTGACCCAGATGTAGGAAGATAACACAGCTCGCATTCAAAGCAAAATGACCAAGTACACACAGCATGCGAGACACACAGCGACAGGAGAGACAGAGACAGAAGCACACAAGTTACATTTCTGGTACCCCAGAGACGCAGCTCAAATCCAGGGTTCCCCTCTCTCTCCTCCAAGGTCCATTCCATCTTAAAGAACCCCCCCATTCCCAGAACCCTGAGTTCTGCAGACACCAGCAAGGCCCACTGGTGACCCACACGAGAAAGCTTTTCTCATTTAACAGAGGGTCTGACAGACATGACAGCCACCACGGGAGAGCTGGAGCTGGAGTTTGTTTGTTTGTTTGTTAGTTTGTTTGTTTGTTTGAGTCAGAGTCTCACTCTGTTGCCCAGGTTCAAATGGAGTGGCATGCTCATGGCCACCGCTGCCTCAACCTGCTGGGCTCAGGTGATCCTCCTGCCTTAGCCTTCTAAGTAGCTGGAACCACAGGCGTGCGCTACCACGCTCGGCTTAGTTTTTGATTGATTGTAGAGACGAGGTCTCACCAAGTTGCCCAGGTTGGTCTCAAACCCCTGGGCTCAGGCAATCCTCTTGCCTCTGCTTCCCAAAGAGCTGGGATTACAGGCGTGATCCACCACACACAGCTGGGAGAGCTGTTTAAATTCCATGCAAAGACACTGTCCCTTAGAAGTTCATCATTAACTTACGGATCTAAAACTCTTCCAAGCTTATGCTGAAACTTTTCTTTGAAATCGTCAACTCTCTTGGATACAATCTGAGCTCCTCTTTTCCTGCAAAATTAAAACATTGTCAGGTGTTTGTGTGTGTGTGTGTGTGTGTGTGTGTGTGTGTGTGTGTGTGTGTTTGTTGTTTGTGTCAGAGTGTCACCTGGTCGCCCAGACTGGAGTGCAGTGGCATGCTCACCACCACTGCAGCCTCAATCTGCTGGGCTCAGGTAAGCCTTCCACCTCAGGCTTCCAAGTGGCTGGAAAGCTGGAACTACAGGCGTGTGCCACCATGCCTGGCTAATTTTTCTTGATTTATAGTAGAGAGGTCTCGCCAAGTTTCCCAGGCTGGTCTCGAACCCTGGGCTTAGGCAAGCCTCTCGCCTCAGCCTCCCAAAGTGCTGGGATTACAGATGTGAGACACCACGCCCAGCCTGTCAGGTGTTTCTATGACCGGAAGTATTCTTGGCTGCCACATGGACACGAGGGGAGAAAATGCCACAGTATCACTAGGCCTTCCAAGAACAAATCTAGCTTCTAAAGAAATTCTGAGCCAGGCAGAGTGGCTCACACCTGTAACCCCAGCACTTTGGGAGGTCAACGTGAGAGGATTGCCTGAGCACATGAGTTTGAGACAAGCCTAGGCAACTAGGCGAGAACTCATCTCCACAATAAATCAAAAAAGTAGTCAGGTGTGGTGGCACATGCCTGTAGTCCCAGCTACTCAGGAGGCTAAGATGGAAGGATGGCCTGAGCCCAGCAGGTGGAGGCTTCAGTGGCCGTGGGTGTGCCACTGTACTTCAGCCCGGGCAACAGAGTGAGACTCTGACTCAAAAAATAATAATAATAAATTCTATGCTTAAAAAAAAAAAAAAAAGCTCTGTGTTCAATTTTCTATCATTTATACTCTATAATAAAAATAAATTTTGATTAACGAATAGGGTAAGCAAACAAAAAGCATTTTAAGTAAATAAAAGCAAAGTGGATTTGGGGGGTATTTTGCACCATGGCCCCTCTCTCTGTCACCCATGCTGGAGTGCCGTGGCATGATCACAGCTCACCACAGTCTCAATCTCCTGGGCTCAGGCAGTCCGTCTGCCTCAGCCTCCCAAATATCTGATACTACCGGCATGTGCCACCACACCCAGCTAATTTTTTGACTTTTAGTAAGGGCGGGGTCTCACTAAGTTGCCTGGGCAGATCTCAAATTCCTGGGCTCAAGCAATCCTTCCACCTCAGCCTCCCAAAGTACTGGGATTACAGGCATACGCCACCACGCCCAGCAAAAACAAAAATTTTTTTTCTTTCAGTTGGAGTCTCACTCTGTTACCCAGACTGGAGTGCAGTGGCTGCTCCCGGCCACTGCAGCCTCAACTTGCTGTTTCCAGCGATCCTTCCGTCTCAGCCTACCAAGTAGCGGGAACTACAGGTGCGTGCTACCACGTCCGGCTAATTTTTTGATTTATTGTAGAGATGAGGTCTCGCCAAGTTACCCAGGTGGGTCTCGAACTCGCAGGCTCAGGCAATCCACTCACCTCAGCTTCCCAAAGCACTGGGATTACAGACTGAGCCACCGAGCCCAGCAAACAAAATGTTAATATCACTATTATAAGTGTAACTCCTAAAATTGCTAACAGAAAATTAAGCATCAAAAAGCAAATAACAAAGGATATAAACAGGTCACTCACATCTAGTAATCAAATATATGGAGAAATTATAATATGTCTAGTAATAAAATAAATGCAAAGCAAAAGAATAACAAAGTGCCACAACTAACCTAGTCAACAAGCAAGTATATATTAATATGTTGAGAGAGAGAAAAACCCCAAACTCGAAAAAACGTTTGATAAAACACTTGCAGTTTGTTAGTACAAATTTATCCAATCCTTTTGGAAATAATTGAACAACATGGAAAAAATAGCATAAAAATATCCATGCTCTTTTATCCATATTTGGGACCCAACAATAAGGAGATAATCCATATAAAAACGTAAAACAGAGCCTGGCTCGGTGGCTCAGCCTGTAATCCCGTGCCTTGGGAGGCTGAGGTGAGTGGATTGCCTGAGCCCATGCACTCCAGTCTGGGCAACAGAGTAAGACTCGAACTCAAAAATTAAATAAATAAATGTAAAATGGTGCTGGGCATGGTGGCTCATGTGTAATCCTAGCACTTTGAGAGGCCAAGGCAGCAGAATTTCTTGTGCCTAGGAGTTCGAGACTAGCCTAGGCAACATAGTGAGACCTCATCTCCACAGAAATTTTAGAGAACTTGAAAATAAAAATGGTCAGGCACAGTGACTCACGCCTGGAATTCCAGCACTTTGGGAGCCAGAGGCAAGAGGACTGCCTGAGCCCAGGGGTTTGAGACCAGCCTGGGTAACTTGGTGAGAACTCATCTCTACAACAAATTAAAAAATAAGCCAGGCCGGGCTCAGTGGCTCAGCCTGTAATCCCAGCGCTTCGGGAGGCCGAGGTGAGCAGATTGTCTGAGCCCGCGGGTTCGAGACCCGCCTGGGCAGCGAGACCTCATCTCTACAATAAATCAAAAATCAGCCGGTCGTGGTAGCACACGCCTATAGTTCCAGCTACTCGGAAGGCTGAGGCGGAAGGATCGCCGGAGCCCAGCAGGTCGAGGCTGCGGTGGCCGGGAGCAGCCACTGCACTCCAGTCTGGGCGACAGAGTGAGACTCCAACTCAAAAAACAAAAACAAAAACAAATAAGCTGGACATGGTGGTGCACGCCTGTAGTTCCAGCTACTTGGAAGGCCGAGGCAGAAGGAACGCCAGAGCCCAGCAGGTCAATGCTGTGGTGGCTGGGAGCATGCCACAGCACTCCAGTCTGGACGACAGAGTGAGAATCGGACTTAAAAAAAGGAAAACAAGCCAGGCTCAGTGGCTCAGCCTGTCATCCCGCGCCTTTGGGAGGCTGAGGTGAGTGGATTGCCTGAGCCCGCGGGTTCGAGACCCG